CGTCCCGCCCCGTGCAGGCGCCCGACCCAGGCCCTCCTCCCGGGACTCCGGCCCCGCCCCGTCCCGCCCCGTGCAGGCGCCCGACCCAGGCCCTCCTCCCGGGACTCCGGCCCCGCCCCGCCCCGCGCGCACCGTCGGGCTGCAGCTGCGTAAACGGGTAGAAGCTGTTGTTCTTGAGGCGCCTGGCCAGGTGGCGCTCGGTGCAGAAAAGTCCTAGGGCCCAAAGCTGAAAGCGCTTGCCGCGGGAGGTCGTGGGCAGGCTGCTGGCCCGGCCCCGGGGGGTCTGGGTCAGGCAGAGGCAGTCAGCCTGGCGGCTCGCCCGCCGCTCCCGTCCACTGCCCGCAGTCGCGCTCTTACCTGAGAGAAGGTCTCCAGGGCTACAGTCCAGCAAGGAGCAGGAGCTCGCAGGCGACCGGCAAGACTGACACAGGCTGGGCTGTGCGCGAGTTCTAGAAGTTCTGGGCGGCAGGTTCTAGAAGGGGCCCCTCTGTTGACCACCTTCTGTGATCACCCCTTCGGGGAGTCCTAGAGTCAGTCCCCGCGACGGGCGTGCCCTTCCCGGCCAGTCTCCACCCCACCGTTGACACCCTGTACAGCCTGGTTCACAGTCCTCATCTGAAGAGTGGATGGCAGGGCCGGCCTGTGGCTCACTCGGGAGAGTGTGGTGCTGATAACACCAAGGCCACGGGTTCGGATCCTATATAGGGATGGCCGGTTTGTTCACTGGCTGGGTGTGGTGCTGACGACACCAAGTCAAGGGTTGAGATCCCCTTATCGGTCATCTTTAAAAAAAAAAAAGAGTGGATGGCTTAGACAGCCCGGGCTTAAACTGGAGAAATCTGCAGGCAGGTGCCCCTCACCCAACCCCATGGCTGAGCAGGGCTCCCACCTCCCCATCAACACAACCATTGAGCTCTGACCTCAGTGTCCCTGAGAGTGGGACACACACATTTTAAGATTCCAGCACCCGCACAACACACAGGCTCTGGCTAACTGGTTCCATCAGGTATAACCTCTGCTCCTTACCCCTACCCCAAGGACCACACGGAATTTCTAAGAACGTTTTATTGTAACAAAATGCTCAAACATCAGAAACTGGGAAAGGGTGCAGAGTGGGGCTGGCTGGCTGAGGCTTTTGGGGTCTAGCTGGGGGAGGCAGGGCTGGTAAGCAGCTGCTCCAGACACCACTGGACTTCCTCCAGGCCCCGGTGGGCCCGCTTCAGGCCTCTGGGAAGACAGCGGCAAGACTCCAGGTTGAGGTACAGCAGGCCTGGGCAGCTGCTGATCACAGAGCTGTGGGGACAGGGCAGGCCACGGGGAGTTGAGGTGCTGCCCCGAAGACCCAGGACCCAGAAGGGCTAGGCCAGGCTAGGAAGCCCATCTGCCTGTGCACCATACCTGGCCCTGCCACCCTCAGCCATCAAGGCTCAAGCCCAGGACCCGTGGCATTCCCAAGGCTAACCCCAAACAGGGGCTTGGCCAGTATGCACTCTTGTCTTGGACCCCCAGAGGTATGGAGCCAAATAGCACACTACCTCTGGGCCCCGGGCAGACAGAGCAGCAAACCATACTGGCTCCAAGGGACTGGGGAGGGAGCACTGACCTGACTGTGCTTGGTGTGACCCGGGTACCCCTGAGGTTGAGGGAGCACAGGGCCGGGTGTGAGGCCCCAGGGGTGCCTGAGAAAGCAGCTAGGGCCTGCTCCAAGTCCTTCTCGCTGAAGCCCTGGCCACTCAAATCCAGTTCCCGCAGGGTGTGGTACCACTTCTGTGTCAACAGGGGGCTGCCCTCCTTGGCAAGAGTCAGCCGGTCTGACACGCCGTACAGGCCCAGGTGAAGCTGCTCTAGCTCTGAGGCGAGAGAAGTGGCCATGAGTGGCAGGGGAGGCAAGGGTCCTCACATTCCACCTGCCCAGCCACCACCCAGGGACACTGACCCTGACATGGCAGATCATGTAGGCCAGCAGGCGTGATACGGGCACAGCCACGAAGATCCAGCAGGCGCAGGTTGGGGGAGCCGTGGAGCAGGCGAACCAGGACCTCGTTGCTCACAAAGTTGCAGGTGGAGCTGGCGAGGCAGAGCTCCTCAAGGCTGGGGAAGCCTGGTCCGGGAGCTACCCCTCTCCCAGAAGGCTTGGGTAGCCACATCAGGTTCAGCAGCCGCAGCACCTGGGGGCAAGGCCCAGGCTGCAGATAGGGAGTGGGCTGACAGGTGGGAGAGGCGGGACATCAAGTACCTGTAGCTGCGGGCAGCCTTTCTGCAGAGCCTCTACGGGTAGCTGGAGGGGAGTGCTGTTGCGGGTGATGCCAGTGCTCACCTCTAGGACCTGGAGCTGGGGGCAGCAGCTGCCCTGCAGAGGTGGGGAGAGCATGGGTTCAGTGGCCTGGCAGTCCCCCGTTCAGCATCTGGCTCTGCTCCCACCCATCACGAACCTACCAGCAGCGCGCCCAAGATGGCTGTTGTCTGGGAGCTGTAGGTCAGCCACAGCTTGCGCATTCGGGGCCCTGCCTCTTCCAAAAAGCTCACCACAGCTGTGGACTCCACCTGGGGACCCAGCACAGGGGTACCTGTCACCCTGGCCCAGGCTTCTTCAAGAACCCTTGGGACACAGGCCTCACCATGGAGTGCTGTAGGTCCAGGCTGTGGAGCTGGCAGCAGGATTTGGCTAGCATGAGCAGAGTGTCAGTGGTCACACTGTGGCAGTCTGAAAGCTTGAGGAAGGTAAGCCGAGGACAGGACTCACTAACCAGCTGTGGGAAAACAGAGGGCCAACTGGCAGCTGGTGCCAACCCCACTCTGCTGCCTCACCGATGGCCTCCTTTCTGCCCATGCCAGGGCTACCTAGGTGCTCCCATCTGACACCTCCTTGCTGGAGGAGACAACAGGAAAGGAGAACCAGGAAGGCAGGCTCTCCCATGGTGCCTGACCCCCTCCCTGGAAGTACTGGACAACCCGAGGATGTCATAGCTGGTGTGCAGGGCAACCTGGAGCTCTCACCTTCAACACGGGGTGTACCTGAGACTTCCAGTGGATGAGGGTCAGCCTCTGGAGCTGTGAAAACCTGGGCCGACAGTAGAGGCAAAGCCACGCTAGTGTTCCCATTATGTCCCTCCTGTCAGCGTCCTCCCCACCCAACACCTTGGTTCAGGAAGACAGAAGGGTCCTGGAGCTATCCACACCCCATACAGGTGGAGAAAGGGAATAAGGAAAAGAGGGAACCCCCTCACCGATTGGGCATAAGCTGCTCCAGGGAAGCAAGGAGCTTCTTCTCCGCCTTGACCCCACCTTTGGCAGGACGGCCAGCCAGAGGGGGCGACAAGGTCACAGTGTGCCAGAGCGCAGGTTGGGAGGCAGCCTCGTGCCACCGGCGGCATACACGTGCAGCCCTGGGAGAACAGCTCTGCTGAGGGTGCGGGGCATTTTGTGGGTGATGCCCCTCTACCAGCTGCCGCTATAGGGTTTCCTAAGAGGTGGGGACCTGACCTGGCAACTCAGCACAGCAGACACTCAACCTCAAAGCCGGGCTCCTGGGGCTCCAACTGGATCCCTGGAAACTGCGCTCTCGGACAGATAAGTGTGTTCAGACGCTTTCGCCCTCTGCCCTCGCCCCCCGCCGGGTGGACCATCGCGGTGAATCCACCTGCGGTCCAAGCCGCTGCGCTGGACAGGCCGGGCCGTGGGTGTGTGTGAGGACTCGTCAGGCCCTCACCTCATATCCGGCTGAGCGTGGCTCAGTCTGTCAGTTGTAAAGACGTTAATTGCGCGTGCGCGCCCAGCTGTGCCCTGGCCGCCTGACTCGCGCCCAGGTGTCCCTTGGCCGCCTGACTCGCGCCCAGGTGTCCCTTGGCCGCCTGACTCGCGCCCAGGTGTCCCCCTGGCCGCCTGACGCGCGCCCAGGTGTTCCCTGGCCAACCGACTCTGGCATAAAGACAACAGCTCTGATCCACCGGGGAATGAGCTCCCCTCCGAATAAAGCACGTCACCCTCGCCAGCGGATCCCAGGATCTTCTTCCAACTACCTAGCTCGCGACCTGCATATGAGGGATCTGTGACCCAGCCCGACAGTGTGGCAGTACCTGCCGAGAAAGGGCGTGGGACCCTCGGCCGCCACCAGCAGCCCGAAAATCTGTACCAGGATTTCCAAGGGTATGCGGTCACCCCAGCCCGCGTCGGGCTCCTGCTCGGGCGCGGGTTCCGGGTCGGGTCTGGGCCTGGCCTTGGGCTTGGCGGCTACGCCGCACGGTCCCGGGGGCGGCTGCCGCGGAGCGCGGCGGGTGGCGCGCCTTTGCACGCGGGCGCGGGCGGGCCCCGGGCCGGGCAGCACCAGCAGCATGCTGTCCA